GGCCTTCGCTGCTCTTTTTCTTACCTACTCTGTTAACCTTAGGCTCTTTTTGTTCCCTGCTCTCGGCTATTTTAATGCCGAATTGTTTCGAAGTCTTCTCGATCACCACACGAAAGTAGCGCATAGAAAGAATGTACAAAACTGAAAAATAACCCAAATAACCCACGCGCGTTCTTCACCTATGCGGAAGTGGCCGTCACCCCCGCTAACCTTTCTAACTACTTCTCAGTATGAACGTATACAAAATTCACAATTCTCGGCCCTGGTAACGCCGGGTAACCCACTCGGGTTCTTCGCCAATGCGGAATTGGCCCTCACGGCCACTAAATTTTCACACTATTTCTCAGTAATACAAAATTCAACATTCTCGGCCCTAGTAACGCCGGGTAACCCACTCGGGTTCTTCGCCAATGCGGAATTGGCCCTCACGGCCACTAAATTTCACACTATTTCTCAGTAATACAAAATTCACACTTCTCGGCCCTGGTAACGCCGGATAAACCACTCGGGTTCTTCGCCAAGTGCGGAATTGGCCCTCACGGCCACTAAATTTTCACACTATTTCTCAGTAATACAAAATTCAACATTCTCGGCCCTAGTAACGCCGGGTAACCCACTCGGGTTCTTCGCCAATGCGGAATTGGCCCTCACGGCCACTAAATTTACTATTTCTCAGTAATACAAAATTCACACATTCTCGGCCCTAGTAACGCCGGATAACCCACTCGGGTTCTTCGCCAATGCGGAATTGGCCCTCACGGCCACTAAATTTACTATTTCTCAGTAATACAAAATTCACACTTCTCGGCCCTGGTAACGCCGGATAAACCACTCGGGTTCTTCGCCAGTGCGGAATTGGCCCTTCACGGCCACTAAATTTTCTAACTACTTCTCAATACGAACGTGCATCCAAACTGACTGATCCACTCGACCAGCCAACGGATCGACAGTAGATGGGGGCGTGGCCACAGTGTATGGTCTCGTGAGAGAACCACAAGTACCTAAGGATACACCTAGGGATATCACCAGATGCATCCACTTTTACGACCTGTCCTTAGGTTTCTTATAATTGCCACGGCCCCATCCCAATGCAAGATATCACCCTTAAGTTTTCTTAACTTAAAAATTAGAAACTGAGTTACAATCACCCATATACAACATGTCATTTGCCATGTAGCTAGAGCCAGCTGGGCTATATGTAATACTTTTTGCGTCCCTGCTGCAATGGGGCTGCGCAGTCTGAGATAACAATACAAATCGCGCAATGCCCGCTTTCGAAAAGTGTTCTGAAGCGCCATTAGCTACCACCCAAAGCGCTCTGCGCCTCCGGTACGGGTCCGGCAGCTTACGTAACCTTATTGCTGAATCTCGCTGGTGAGTGCGAGGGATTGCGAAGCAGGCGAAAGATCACGAAATGTGGGCTGCCTCCTCTGATTTTGCATGGAGTTTGGTACTGTAGCCTAGTCATTTGGACTCCCGAGTATGTAGAATCAGAACTATTGTTGACCGAGAGCTTATGGCGCTTGAAAGAAGATACAGCTCCGGGTGTGACGCTAGCGAACCCTTGTAATATGGCCTTAATAGAGACCAAAATAGCTAAAGCCCGGAGATAGGCGTCGTACAAAGCTTTACTTGTAAGGCCGAATAGTAGAGTTTTGGCCCCTTGTATGCGACTAGCAACTACCTGCTTGCTATGCGGTGGAAACGGATAACAGAAAGGATTTTATTTACAGAAATTACAGTAGTACGTAGGAATAGTTTGAGCAATGATGGACGTGCAGGAATCGAAGAAGGCGGCGGTGTCCAGTGCGGGCGGCGACGTCCACTGCAGGCGGCGACGAAGTCCGATGACCAGGATTCAGTAACACCAGAGAAAGCTCTGCTTGAGTCTTACGGCTAGCTCTTATATACCCGGCGGCCCCTCCCCTATCTTGCCTGAGGGGCCCGCGAAAAGACCACCTTGCCTGGGGGCGCGCCAACTACAGATCTCACGTAGGGGGCGCGATCTACCTGTGCGACCACCCTATGCACCTCCCTCATGGCTTCCTACTCAACATGCCTCCCCGTCGTGGAGTCGTCGTCCTCGACGACCGTTTGGGGCCACAATCTCAAACCAGTTCGCTTTCAGACGAGTAACACAGCAATCTTGCTGTCGCCACTCTTGTCTAACTTGACAGACTCTTATTCTCGGTTTCCTGCTTTCATCACCTCTACTATGTTCTGTATCGACCTGCTGGTTGGGAGTTCCTTCTGATGCAGGCCCAAACATTCCTGGCTGCCTACGAATCGCCTTAGTGTCTTGCCCTATTTCTGATGAAACGGAGGTGTTCTTTGCCTCACTTGCTTTGGGTGGTCCTCTCCAATCAACCGCTACCCTTCGGTTTTCTTCTCTGGGTGTCGGAACATACAGCCGGTTCCCTACCCTTGGATGTTTGTTACCATCAATTTTATCTTTTCTGACATACATGTCTTTCCTGTACGACCTTTTTAAACTAGTGTTCTGTGCTGCCATCCTACCATGAGGTTTGGCTATCGCCTGGCTACGGCAACAGCTTGAAGACACTACCACCTTGTTTCTATTTCTTTTCTCCAGAGATACTAGGTCGTCCTTCGTGCATTGTTTATTTACAGCTACGTCAATCCCCAACTTCTCCAACGCATTCGTTCCAATGATAGCCTCTGCTTCCTTGTCCGCACTAATATGGAATGCAATCATCTCGGAGTTCCCACTATCCACTTCAATTTCGATATGAATCAGCTTTGACTTCGGCACTACCTTTAAGGGGATAATGCTGATCATGGAACCAGTATCTACAAGGGCTGTACACCGATCTCCAAGAAGCCTCACAGGGACCATTATCCGTTTCCCAATGAGATCGCTGTCATCAGATCTTTTTCGTCGAGCTTTCATCCCCATACTACGATTTCGCTCTATTATGGAAGACAACTTTGTTTCTGTATCCTCCTAGGGGACTTCTTTTGGAATGTGTGGTTTACTACGGTTTTCTCCGGGCACTCTCGCGCTATATGCCCGAATCTTTCGCAACGATAGCATTTCCTGCTCTGCCTTGTCTCACGGTAAAACTGTTTCTGCCTCTGCTGCTCATGATCTGAAGTATCCATTTCTTCAATTTCTGTGGCAAGAGATAATTCTGCGTTATGTGTGGTCTTTCTCTCTGCTCCCCGCCGTTCGCTATCAGAGGATCTTTCTTCCATCATCACTGCAGGTCTTTGTTCACTACTATGCTGGTACTGTGCGCACCTGCTTTTCCACGCCATTGAGCGTCTTTCATTCGCTCCTAGCATTATTCTTGACTGCTCTATGCTCAGAGCTAGCTGCTTTACCTCCTCATACGCCTTACGAGGCTCTACTCTGTGCAACGCTCCAACTAACTGGAAGTGTTCAGGCCAGTCGCTCAGATTATCGAGTAGAATTTGTGCATACTCCATCGACCTGTCCTCCAGTGTACACTCTGGATTTGCTTGCTTACCTAGTCTTTCTAGAACTACGCAAAATTCTGACACTTCTTGAGCTGGTCTCATCCTCAAATTTTTCAACTCGGTCAGTGCTCTCATTCTTCCTGCTGTAGAATCGTATGCCATCAACCTGGCCATTTCCTGCGTTACTGCCTCAAACCCGCATTCCCTAACTGCGCGTGGTAGCGAAGCAAACACATTTTTAGCCCTACCGGCTAGATGATCATCTGACAAGATCTCTAAAAGTGTTTCTTCGCACGAAATCACTGTCTCATATTTTCTTCTGAATTTTCTCAGGAACTCCTGGAAGTCTTCACCTTTTTCCCCTTTAAACACTCCCTGGGTCAGCACATGTCATGGACTTCAGGTAGTTCAAGAGTGTGCGTTGGCCACCACCTCTGCATCTTCTCGCAGAGGAGCTCTTGACCATGGACTCACTCCATGTGCTCGGCCATTGTGCACCGACGTACAGGGTCTCTCCTGCAAACTTGGCTTTTGCCAAGCCTCGTCCACCGCTTGCCTTGCAGACCCTCGTCGATCGCACTGCATTCCAGGCCAGTCCTTCCCAAATGGCTCGCGGCATCTCACCTCCACGGTACGCTTGAGCTGAGAGACGTCAGTCTGTAGAAGATCACACAGCTCGTTCACGAGCTCTCCATCTTTTTCTACAGTGTCGACATAGTCTCTCCATTCGTCTCCTGTTTCTATACCCCTTTGGGAGAGAGTAACCACGATTTCTTTCATCAACTCTGATACTACGGGATGATGTAAAGCTTCTCTTGCTAGTTTTTCTACCGCTTCACTTACTACATCCCAATCATTTTCCAAACTGGTTCTAGCTTGCTTCGCTATTTTAGCATTGCCTAACACCAATTTTGCCCTTTCCTTCGCTTCACGCACTATCCGCATGCACGTAAGCCAGCTCTCATGCTGGTACTTTCCATCAGCTTTGGGACTACCCAACTCTTGGGGTATACACCGCTCTTCCTCCTTCATAAAGACTCGCTGCAATTCATCACTACTCTCATGCTTGTGGTGACCTCTGTCGTTCCCTCACGACAACCATTCTTTGCGATGCCTTATCGCCCTGCCAATGTGTTCTTCTCTTCTGAACACTTATACTCTTTCAAACCTCCTAACACCCTCTTCCGGTGTAAAGCGAGGTCGATCTTTCTAACAAGGTGTTCTTTCCTGCTTTCGAACACCCTGCTTCTCTTTGGATGTCCTGGCCCCTTCTCAATGGCTACTTGACCAATAGACCAGGAACGATCCACCTGCTGTATCCGCTCACTCGCGCTCAGCAAACGAAGTAGTCGCTTTAGTCGCAAGTGGTTCGGCCCCCATGTAAGGCCGAATAGTAGAGTTTCGGCCCTTTGTATGCGACTAGCAACTACCTGCTTGCTATGCGGTGGAAACGGATAACAGAAAGAATTTTATTTACAGAAATTACAGTAGTACGTAGGAATAGTTTGAGCGATGATGGCGTGCAGGAATCGAAGAAGGCGGCGGTGTCCAGTGCGGGCGGCGACGTCCACTGCAGGCGGCGACGAAGTCCGATGACCAGGATTCCGTCACAGAAAGCTCTGCTTGAGCCTTACGGCTAGCTCTTATATACCCGGCGGTCCCTCCCCTATCTTGCCTGAGGGGCGCGCCAACTACAGATCTCACGTGGGGGGCGCGATCTACCTGTGCGACCACCCTATGCACCTCCCTCATGGCTTCCTACTCAACACTTCGACATTTCAGCTGATAGGGGTGGAGCTATGGAAACCAAGATGTT